TCCTGATACCAGCTCAAGTTGAAAATATTCTCACTTTGAATAAGTAGAAGTTTTATTCTTGAAATTAGTCGTATGTTCTAAAATTATTTATGAAAAATAGGTATATGCAGTATTTAAGTTTAACTCAAATTGAAATTTGGAACCAAAATCCCATTTAAAGACGACAGTTGTGATCTCTACAAGTGTTCTTAGCCAGTCCTTTGATTTTGGGGTGGTGGTAGCATCACATGCAAATTATTGAGAACAGAAACTCCAAAACAGGCCTGAAGCCATTCATAGGGCCATACACTGTTTTCATTTCATCTCTTGTCCCAATTATCATTTTCCTCTTCTCAATTCTTTACAAAGGACACAATTTATTTATATGCAGTATTTAAGTTTAACTCAAATTGAAATTTGGAACCAAAATCCCATTTAAAGACGACAGTTGTGATCTCTACAAGTGTTCTTAGCCAGTCCTTTGATTTTGGGGTGGTGGTAGCATCACATGCAAATTATTGAGAACAGAAACTCCAAAACAGGCCTGAAGCCATTCATAGGGCCATACACTGTTTTCATTTCATCTCTTGTCCCAATTATCATTTTCCTCTTCTCAATTCTTTACAAAGGACACAATGTATTTCATGTTTAGCCAGCCAACGAGATTCTTTGATAATCTTTTTTCAACTTAAAAAAAAAAAAAAGGTAGACTTTTAAGTGTGTGAACATGAAAGTCTGAAAGGCTTTTCCCCCAGGTCAGATATTTGAAGTTTCAGGAGGAGGAGCAGATGTGGTTCCATTTTAATATTAGCTGGATAAACCCCATATTTCCTTAGAGCAGTATGTATCTGCAAGATAAACACTTAAACACAAGGAGCAAATCACAATTATGTTTAAACTGGTATCATCTAATGCAATGGCCACTAACCACATGTATTTATTTAAATTTAAATTAAAAATCAGTTCCTTAGCCACACTAGCTACATTTTAAGTGCTCAGTACCCACATATGGCATAGGATAGTGCAGGTTTTAGGACACTGCCAACAACAGGTAGAGTTCTCTTGGGCAACGCTGGTCTAAATTTTCACTGTAGAAAACAAAGCTTTGCCATCATGTTTAAGTCTTACACTTAGAATCAGAGAGTCCTAAAGATAATTAGGAGGGAAATGTGTATTTAAAGTAGTTTACACTGCTAAATATTAGGTTGTATTATATGAAATTGTGATATTTGACTTATTGATCTACAAAAATGAGTTTCACGTGATTTGATCTAATATAGCAGCACATTAACATCGCATCTAATTGAACCTGAAGTGTGAGTCTCCTTTGATCTTGTTAAGGATCTCTTATGAATCCAGGCTCTCCTGCTAACAAGGCAGATGGCTATAACTTAACTTGTAACACTTGCACTTAGATCTTCAGGCTCTAAATGGGCAGCTGTTAATGACTTAAACAATAAAGACTTGGACAGTGTTGATGTTGGTGAGAAAAGCTGTCTTTTTATACCAAATGGAACTTAGCAACAGACTGGACTACTTTGTTGGGGAAAGTGATCTTAAGAGATGGACACATCTCTTTGAATTTTTGTAGTGTCTTGCTTGCTTCATTTTATTTAAGTAGAAATGTTTGAACGGTATCATGAAGCCTCTTTGGAAAAGTGATTGGATCCACCTGAATCGTACACTTGAACACCAGTGATGTAAATGTGCCTATTTGTATTTAAAATTTAACTGTGTAGCCTTATCACACCTGTTTTAAAAGCTGATCTTTTTGTGCTCTTCAGGGTTTTTTCCCCTTGTGCCATGTTGTCTCTAGCACGTATGTAGCTTCTCACTCTGAGAGCTTATGCTGAGGCAGGGCCTTACGTCAAGTCACATGGCTCCTTGGAACAATAAAACTTTCTCAGAAGGCCTCCCACACAGATGGGTGATAGAAACAGTTTGTGGCAACACAACTCTCTCTCCATGGTGGAGAAACCTTTGCTTATCCACTGTATTCTACTCAGTGTATAGTGATGACAAATGTAATAGAATTAAACCAGTAAAGTGTACTGGCCCTGGTTAAGTGTTAAATGTGTATCTCACCTGTGGAAACTTCTCAGCAACTTGGTTTCTGGGGTTGGGGTCATATTTATTTTTTAAAAAGAGAAACCTCTCCTTCATTGGTTTCATGTACATCAGTCTATTTAGATATACTTATCCCACTTCAATCTCCATTGTCCCCTCAACTCTCTCATGTACCTTCTGATGCTGAAGTGGCCTCTTCGCCTGGGCCTTGGAAAAGCTCCTGGGCAAAGTCTTTTCCTGCAGCCAGGGCATTGGTCCCAGGTGACTTCGGTGTAGCCACAGGAATGTGCCTACAGTACAGGAAGAAGTGGGCATGTGGTGTCTGTAGTCCAAGGTCTCTGCATCTCATCTCTGGGAGCAGCACCTGCCCCCTCAGGTGTGAGTGTGTTGATGGACTCCAGACTGCCTTCCACGAGTGTTGGTTATGCCATGATGTAATTATTTGCCATTAAAACCTAGTCTGTATGATGCCAAGAGGACTGTTTAATTGCTCAAGTGACTGATTCTTTTCAGTTGTAATCACATCCCTTTTCCGCTTCACCAAACTGAACTGTTTCATGGAAAGCATCATTAAAGATCTGTTCCCTTTCCTTTTGACAGTTTTTTCTGAACACCTCTTGGTGGAGCCACATAAATTATGAAGTATTTAAGCTGTGGGCCTTAGTCAGCAAGTAGCAAATTCTTATAGTCCTCATGATTTGGAGCAGCTGTTGTAGCTGGGCTGGGATGTGTGACCTGTATCGACCTGCAAGGTGGTGGCTGGGAGGAGATCCTTTGGTGCCTGTGGTCACATGCCTGAGGTCCCACTCACCTGTGCCCAATGAAATCATCCCCAGTGTCTCCTTGTGACTTCCTCTCCTTCAGAGCTAGACTCTACCCCAAGGAACCAGTTTTGGGCTCTGAGCAAAGGATACTGGTCATCTTTTAATGTAAAACAGGCAAATAAGTGCTATTAAAAAAAAAATTTTTTTTTTTTTGTCTTTTTTCATGTCCGGCAAC